CATTTTTCATTTTTAAAACGTAATTTTTATTTTTAGGTGACCTTTCCGTCCAATTTGTTACATTTCATTAAAATCTGCTTGGTCTACTTCTTTTTTCCAATTTCAGCATTTGGTGTAAGACATTTATAGAAAAGTGACTTGAAAGCAATTTAACCACAAGTTCAGCCAAATTAATTTAAGGAGAGTTTAGTAAACAACCTTGCTTTCTGTACTTAAGTGATCAATTTCAACACCTGCTTTTCCTTCCAGATGGAGTTAATTAACATTAAAATTATTGCCTATAGCAGAGACTATTTTTTTGATAACTCTCAGCCCTCCAGCTGCATCCAGATTTCTACACTTCTGAAAATTAAAAACAACATGAGAAGTAAATTTATTGTTGAACTATTTCAAGATATGCACCTAAGTACAACTTTGGAAGAAAGAAAACTTAATTGTGAAAAGTGGATCCTACATGTTGGGCATTTTCACATATAAAATCCTCTACAATCCTCATAACTATGTCAGGAGGGGTGTTCTACAGACATCTAATATATAAAGAAACTGAAAATTGGGAAAGTTTTATAATTTTTTTGGATGTTATACAATTAGTAAGTCATAGAGCCAGAATCTCTATTTAACCAAAGTCCACATTTTTTCTACTCTGCTAGGCTAGGCTTAGACTGAGGTGAAAATTGGAAATTAAAAAAAAAAAATCCCCAGGGAGTGTGAATTAAACTAATTGGTGTGAGGTAGTTTAGACTGAGATGAATATTGCACTTTAAATACTGTAATTATGTATATCTATATGTTTATATAAAATGCATGTGAAGCCCCAATGTGAAGTGGCGACAATAAACAACACCACAATCATAGTTCACTAACTGCACTGAGAACTGCTTATGCATCAGATTCCGGGCTAGGGGTTAAGAAGAGATCAAAGCCAAGGAAAGGTAAAATGATTGTTACAATGGAGTCTACAATAATTAGGAATAAGTAATGTGAGTTCAAAAATGAAGAGGTATTAAGTGAGGAAGTGGTATTTTAGGTATAAACAGTTGCTCCTCACACTACTCATTAAATCTTTCTATAATCCTCATTTTAAAGAGACATTTTGCTGATTTACAAGTGTTCTTTATAAAAGATAGCTTTATAAATAAGTTTGGAATAAATAAATAACTTTATAAATAAGTTATTAATTCAGCTTTTTTCTCCCACTGAACTTCATGGTACCAACCCAATTCATTTAAATATTACAGTTTTTTTAAAAATACCAGAAACCAAATCAAGAACAAACTGCCATTCACAATTGCTACAAAAAGAATAAAATAGCTAGGAATACAACTCACAAGGAACGTAAGGGACCTCTTCAAGGAAAACTACAAACCACTGCTCAACGAAATAAGACAGGACACAAACAGATGGAGAAATATTCCATGTTCATGGTTAGGAAGAATTAATGTCGTGAAAATGGCTATACTGCCCAAAGTAATTTATAGAATCAACGCTATCCCATTCAAGCTACCATTGACTTTCTTCACAGAACTGGAAAAAAACCACCATGAACTTCATATGGAACCAAAAGAGAGCTCACATAGCCAAGTCAATTCTAAGCAAAAAGAACACAGCGGGGGGCATCACACTACCGGATTTCAAACTATACTACAAGGCTACAGTAATCAAAACAGCATGGTACTGGTACCAAAACAGAGATATAGACCAATGGAACAAAACAGAGGCATCGGAGGCAATACAACATATCTACAACCATACAGTCTTCGATAAACCTGACAAAAACACGCAATGGGGAAAGGGCTCCCTGTTCAACAAATGGTGTTGGGAAAACTGCCTAGCCATGTGCAGAAAGCAGAAACTGGACCCCTTCCTGACACCTTACACTAAAATTAACTCCAGATGAATTAAAGACTTAAACATAAGACCTGGGGCCATAAAAATCCTAGAGGAAAATCTAGGCAAAACCATTCAGGACATAGGAGTAGGCAGGGACTTCATGACCAAAACACCAAAAGCATTGGCAACACAAGCCAAAATAGACAAATGGGACCTAATGAAACTCCACAGCTTCTGCACAGCAAAAGAAACAGTCACTGGAGTGAATCGGCAACCAACAGAATGGGAAAAAATTTTTGCAGTTTACCCATCTGACAAAGGGCTGATATCCAGAATTTACAAAGAACTCAAACAGATTTACAGGAAAAAAACAAACAAGCCCATTCAAAAATGGGCAAAGGATGTGAACAGACACTTTACAAAAGAAGACATATATGAGGCCAACAATCATATGAAAAAATGCTCATCGTCACTGGTCATCAGAGAGATGCAAATCAAAACCACATTGAGATACCATCTCACGCCAGTTAGAATGGCGATCATTAAAAAATCTGGAGACAACAGATGCTGGAGAGGATGTGGAGAAAAAGGAACACTTTTACACTGTTGGTGGGAGTGTAAATTAGTTCAACCATTGTGGAAGACAGTGTGGCCATTCCTCAAGGCCTTAGAAATAGAAATTCCATTTGACCCAGCAATCCCATTACTAGGTATATATCCAAAGGACTATAAATCATTCTACTATAAGGACACATGCACACGAATGTTCATTGCAGCCCTGTTTACAATAGCAAAGACCTGGAACCAACCCAAATGCCCATTGATGATAGACTGGATTGGGAAAATGTGGCACATATACACCATGAAATATGATGCAGCAATCAGAAATGATGAGTTTGTGTCGTTTGATGTTCTCCAGATTCATCCATGTCCCTCCATTCTCAGCAAACTGACACAAGAACAGAAAATGAAATACCACACATTCTCACTCATAGGCGGGTGATGAAAAATGAGAACACATGGACACAGTGAGGGGAGTACTAAACACTGGGGTCTATTGGGGGAAAAAGGGGAGGGCCAGCGTGGGGGGGGGAGTTGGGGAGGGATAGCCTGGGGAGAAATGCCAAATGTGGGTGAAGGGGAGAAAGGAAGCAAAACACACTGCCATGTGTGTACCTATGCAACTGTCTTGCATGTTCTGCACATGTACCCCAAAACCTAAAATGCAATAAAAAATTAAAAAAAAAATCAGAAAAAAAAATACCAGAAATACCCAGCACTATCTAGTGATTGAGAATGATTAATACAGTTAAGAACATTGTTCCATCATCATCTTATAGATGATCTATCATCTATAGAAGGCTTTCTTTAGAAAAAGCAGTGGCTTCTTCAAATAATTTATTGGTGATGGGTACTATTAGGGAATATAGTTAATAAACTATTCTAAGGGAGATATACACACATATATATGTGCATACACACATCCACAGTCCAGTCTGTTTTCTGTAGTTATCTTCTATGAAGTCACCATGAATTAGTACATACTGGACCATTGCTCCTAGGGGAAATACAGGACTAGGTTCCTGCCAGCCTCAGAGCACAACATTGTTATCAACTGATCAGTACATAATTTTGTTTTATGTACAGGGATACATTATTTAATATCTATTGTTGATTCATGGACATTGCATTCACAGTAACAAGCAGTATACCTGCTGCCTGAACAAAGCTTACCTACCACATGCATTTTATCCACAAGGCACATCACAGGCTCCTTGTGCTCAGAGTGTAATAAAGCACTTCAGCACTACACTTGGGAGCCACTTTAAACAGTAAAATCATCAACAAAAACACAAAAATGAGAAAAGTGTGACACTAAATAGACCATGAAAAGGACACTTGTGAAGGTAGAGTATTGCCTTATTGAACCTCAGGAATGATCCATTATTGGGTAATTCAGAATTTTTGCCATTCTGCACTTACCCATCAATGACCTCAAAGGGGCCACAAATAGTGAATTTGGGGTTACAAATAAATTTTAGCCAATATGAAGTTTACAAATACCAATTTTGGAGGCCAAGGCGGGTGGATAACAAGGTCAAGAGATTGAGACCATCCTGGTCAACATGGTGAAACCCCATCTCAACTAAAAATACAAAAAATTAGCTGGGCATGGTGGCATGTGCCTGTAATCCCAGCTACTCAGGAGGCTGAGGCAGGAGAATTGCCTGAGCCCAGGAGGCAGAGGTTGCGGTGAGCCAAGATCACTCCGTTGCACTTCATTCAGCCTGAGAAAGGAGCGAAACTCCATCTCAAAAAAAAAAAAGAATAGAATATACACAAACATGTCACTTTAAGTTATTGTACATAGAGTTAATAGCCTCCATAACCACAGTGTAACTCTAACTGTAGAATGTCTCATCTTTTCCTTTAGGTATTTAGCTCATATGGACTTTATGTTTTTAATGTTTATAAATAATTACTCTGTTTTGTATGTCATCATTCTGGGCTGAGAGCTCCACAGGTTTTTGTAGGTTATTTTAAATTGCATAGATTATTCTGAAGCTCTAATAATTCAGTTCCTGTGGTTCTTTATGTTTTATAGTTCAAGACTGATATTTTGGAGTTGGAACTTTCAATGTATTTTGCTGGGATTCAGCAAACTGGCCTGAAGCCAAATCCTAGTGAGCTTTCTATTTTTGTCAGGAATGTTTAATTGGAACACAGACACACCCATGTATTTACATACAACCAGGGTTGCCTACTTGGAAAAGAGACTGTATGCCTGTAATGTCTAATATATTCTAATATATTGGCTCTCTGCCCCTTTAGAGAAGTGTGTCAATCTGCGTCATGACATACAGCTCCAGTAGATTTTTATCACATCTGATTAGACAATTAAGTAGACAAGGACTCTAACTGGAACTATTTTTTTTATCTTTAATGCATGTTAACTCTGGTTGATGCCTTCAAACAGTTTACTCCTTTGTCATATATTTTTAAGATATGTTTGTACAGATTTACATATCTATGGAGAATCTTGGTCATTCCAGATAATCAAATTGTTTAGTATGATTGGAATGCATTTTGTCTGAATACCATATAAATAGAATAATATGATTTCTAAGTTTACTATGAAATACTTAGTTTTTACATTTTTATTTTTTCAGCGTCCATTTTACCTGGAGATGGATGTCAAGATGTAAATTGACTGGTAAGTGACACTGCATTTCTTAATAATTATATAATTTTTAAAATAGAGATTCTGTGTTTATTCTGACACCCTGGTACATAAAGCTGGAAACTAAGAACTGTGACTTACGGAGATTGGAATATTTTATTGTTTTCCTACAAATAAAGCACTGGGATAAATATTTTATCTTTATTTGTGCTCACTGAACAATAAGTGTAAACAGTTCAATTTGCAAAGTGGAAAAATAATTAAATTGTTCGAATAATAATCAATGTTTGTGTCAGTCATAAACTAACTCTGAAAGGAAAGAAAAGGTTTATATGTGTAAAAGAAAAAAGGAAAGATAGGGAAACCAACCTAAAAGGAACTGCTGGCAAGTAAGTTCTATCATCAGTGTGATTTGCTTATTGTTTATGTTCTTTAAACTTCTTATTACTTCATGAAAAAAAGGAGCATACCCCTGATATTATTTCTTCTTGTATGGGGTTTCTACCTTATTCCACAGACATGTGGAAATAAATCATTTATTTTGTTCTAGAATTTGAATGGATGACATTTTTTAGTTTTCTACATTCAGCAAAGTGTGAGGCTTGCCAAGTTTGCAGCGTGCACATTTGAAAATTACACATATTAATTATGGGTTTTTTGGTTATATTTCAAATTCAGTTAATAATGGTCAAGGTTACTAGAACCTGTTTTATCCGAGAGTTAATTTTTAAATATGTTTTTGAGAGTTAATTTAATAATTTTAATGGCAGATGGTATTTTGTTATTCATGTATCTTCAAGTTGCAATAACCATAATTGCAAAGTGATGGGTTTTAACATAAACCTAGGGAAATCTAGATTATTTCCTGATTTAATAATTTATATATTCTCTGGAGGCTCCAATCGCTCTGTATAACTTAGCTAAGTACCAATACAACCGAAAGGATTGTATTCTTTACTTAATGAATAACATCTGGTAGGTTGTTCAAGAGGTATTGTAAATGCTTGTACCTCCTCATTAAATAATAAAATACTTAACTGAATATCACATAATATCTTGGAAATGTCATTGAAAATAAAGTTATATAACATTTTAAAAATTATGATTCAGAAAATGTAATATATGTATATATATATATTATTGCACTTTAGGTGCTTGAGTACAAACGTGCACATGCGGGACTGTTGCATAGATACATACATGGCAATGTGATTTGCTGCCTTCATCTGCCTTCACCTATATCTGGCATTTCTCCCCATGTTATCCCTCCCCAACCTCCCCACCCTCACTGTCCCACACCTAGCACCCCACTAACAGATCCCAGTGTGTGATGCTCCTCTCCCTGAGTCCACGTGTTCTCATTGTTGAGCACCAGCCTATGAGTGAGAACATGTGGTGGTTGGTTTTCTATTCTTATATCAGTTTGCTGACAATGATGGTTTCCAGATTCATTCATGTTCCAACAAAGGACATGAATTCATTTTGTATGGCTGCATAGTATTCCATGGTGTAGTGCTGCATTTTCCTTGTCTAGTCTATTATTGATGGGCATTTGGCTTGGTTCCAGGTCTTTGCTACTGTAAACAGTGCTGCAGTGAACATACCTGTGCATGTGTCTTTATAAGAGAATGATTTATAATCCTTTGGGTATATACCCAGTAACAAGATTGCTGGGTCAAATGGAATTTCTGTTTCTAGATTCTTTAATATATATACGTGTGTGTGTGTGTGTGTGTGTGTGTGTTCATGAATATATTATTAATTTAGGCAGATACTTTAGCTACATATATTCTATTATCTCCTTTGAAAATAGCAGAGACAATATTATCTGATGATTTGAAATAAAATATGTAACATTTATTATGTATTGCCTTATCTGCGTATTGTCATTTTATCACAAAGAACAATTGTTCTCCCATAGCATCTCCTTTAGCATTCAGTTTGTTAGTGAGGTGATACTACCTGATATCACCACTGGCAAATATGACAATGCCAAGCAATTATAATCTATATTCTAAGTATCAGTTGAGAACAAGCTGAGGTAAAAGCATTGTAAACTTTAAAACTGCCCCATGCAAACCAAGAAACATTAGGATAAATCAAAGGGAAAAAGAAATAAATGAAAGAAATTAGTAGAAAATGTAAGAGTTGCAAAGTGAGAGACCAACTCACTGTGTGAACAAGTACTTTTACGTGAATATGAGATCTAAAAAAATGGAAAGTTAGGGCATGTGATTATACATTTATTTAGTATATTTTAATATTAATATTTTTAAAATGTATAGAATATGTTTGCACTCTTTTTGAAAATATTTAATGTATCTGTTTGTTGCCTTCACTGGACACTATTCAATTGGCTGTCATGTTAGAGAGAACCATAGTACAGAAGACCACAGAAAAATGTTATGATGGACATTTTGAAAGCTATTCTAGGAAGAACTGGTCATTAACTAACTACATTGGTGAGAGTAAATAGCTACTGAATGTTGAACATTTCATGGGTGCAAAGTAGCATCCTCATGGTTTGAATCCTTCACCTCCTGTATCTCAGAAGGACATCTGTTTTTAATTATCAGTATTTCTGCATTTCATTTAATGCCATTTTAAGAAATGCATATAAAACATTCAAATATAAATGTTAAATAAGGAGGAAAAATAATAGCTTATGTGAAGCACTGCACTGTAAATATGATAAACAGATTGACATGACTCAAGTAATTCATGTGAATGGATAAAAGTATAAATTGAACTTTTATAGGTAAGCAGCTATTTTCCAAACTGTTAAAACATGATGAACTCCAATGTCAAGAGTTGTTGCATCAAAGGCTTGCTTCTGGGCCTAAAAGTATTCCCTCCTGTAATGTAAGAATTTCTAATTCATTTGGATTGTGATATATATATCCGGATAAACAAGGAAACCATTTGTCTAAAGTCATTTGTTAAAATTTTCCAACCACTCAACTCTTACTGAAATTCATTTTCCTTATAATGCTGCTTGTCAGTAACAAGTCCAAAAGGATGAATCAATGCACTAAAATAATCAACACTGCTACACGTTTACATTAGTCCTTAAAAACTGTGACTGAAGATGTAATTTGGAGATTGATGCAGGCCATAAATGAGTAAACTGTACTTGTAAGTGATATTTTGTAGCAATATGATCTTTCATGACTATAAGATCTATGATGGCTGAGACCCTGGTTTAATGCAGAACCTTAAGCAAAAAGAAAGTACTCAGAATATAAAATGTCTTGATAAATACATGTTGATTTAATAAATTAGTGGACTATATTTTTGAAATAAGACTGGATAAAGATAGAATAGTAGTAGTAGTAAATATATACAAAGTACCATATTTGTTTTTGGTAAAGAAGTAGTAGTGCACATGTTCAGGAGCAAAGACACAGATGCAGAATTTCTAATTGAAAATTCTATTACATACGAGGTATACACACTTGTGTCTCTCTATGACATATTTTCATCATCTTAAGTATAGAAAGACTGAATCCTTGTAACTCGCTTGGAGAAGTTCCTGTCACACAGTAAACATTATTTATTTATTGGTTACAGTTACTACCAGTTACTACCATTGTTGGGGGAGTTATGTGGAAATTAGGCATGTTGTTCATGATCAAGAAGTGTTTATTCTAGTAGGAAAGACAGTTATAAGTAAGATTAACTCTAATATAAATTATGATGTTTCAGAAATTTGAAAGACTACAAGTGAATATTTAATGAGTGAGAATGAGGACTCATCTCATGAGTGATGTAGCTCTTTAAGTGACTCCCAAATAATTTTCCATGATTGTGAAGTTTTTCATGAATATTTTGGCATAGAAAATTGCAGTAACTGTATTCTGGCAAAGATAAAGTAGCTAGACCTAAAGAGGCATGAAAAACCCACAGAACAACATTCACCCCTCAATGCTTTTACTGACTAATTTATTAGATAATTACTCCATTAAAACTTATTTTATGCCATTTCCTGTTAATATTTACTTCGTAAATTGGCATTCCAAGCCATTCAACGACAAGAGGGCATATACCTCTCCAAACTTAGCCTCCAACATTCTCCACCTACCAGTTCCAATTTCATTTTATGCTCCATTTTTTTGTCTGCTTTTTCCCAAACTCACTGTGGTTTTATACATTTTCCTTTCACCTCAAAGGCTCTTATACCTATTCTACACTGGGCAAAATTCTAGCCTTCTATAAAATTTCTTGTTCAAATGTTATTTCCTTTGTACAACTTGAGGGGAAGTTTTTCTGCATTATTTCAAATTTGGTAGATAGAGACCAAACAGTGTGTCCTCCCCGCAACTCCACCAGGTATGCACAGAGGTATATATACATACACACACACACACACACACACACACACACACAATTTATAAGGTAGTTATAGTAAATTCTCAATTTCTTTAATCAGGAATAGAGAATATCTTATTGGAAGTGCATTTTGACACCCAGAACTGGAACAGATGTAGCTTATCTATATGGATTCCCTTGGCTCTCCAAATCCCTAAGGAATGAGGGCTGTCATGCAGCTGCCAGTGATATTTTCCATATATAGTAGAGTCTTGCTGATTTCAGAAACTTAATTCTTCCTGGGTTATGATATTTAATGTTTTCACTACTGCCCCTGAGGAATTATACTTATAAGCTATATGCTACCACTTAAGGAAAACATTGATTTCCTCATTCTAATCTAATCTCAGTAACAGAGAGGGAGCTTTGACAACTAAGGAAAACAGGAATATAGTTCTGACTAGTACTTGCATTGAAAGTTTCATCCCTGCAGAAAACTCATTATTCAAATGCCTGTACTCAGTATTAGACCTTTCATCTTCTAGCTACCATATCACTTTCTCTTTAATATAAGTTGGCCTCCAGGTGGGGGACTGGGAAATAGTAGGTAAGGCATAGTCTTGACTTCATGGAGGTCCTGGTTGAGTAGATAACACAGAGCAATAGCAAGATTATTTGGTCATTTGTGTGACTATAGAGGCAAATATTGAGTGCTTTGGAATCAT